TTTTTTCGTGCAGCTGAGTTATAGCAATTTCTGAAGCGCCGATCAGATCAGAGGGATCCAGAAAATCCAAAAAGGTGATGGAGGCGAATAAAACTCGTTTCCACACGTAGGCAGGAGGAGATTAGTGTGACAAAAGCTAAAATTGTTTTACATCTGCAGGATATTAAATGCTATACATGCTTGGTTTGCACTGCTCATTATTCTCTTACACCCTCAGACAGACTTGATGTTCTTCATTTAAACCCTAATCACATTTTCAGTGCTCTCTGTATACTTCAAGCGCTGTGTTGTTTTTTCAACTGCAGCAGGATATGAGAGATTTGATGTATAGCTTTATCCTCCACTGTGTTGAAAGTGTTGCTCATGGTGTTTTGTCAACCCGTGTATCTTTCACTGCATGCACAGATACAATCTAAACTTAATGCTGTTGATGATGTTGTAAAAGAATGCTGGGGCTATTTGACTGAACACATATTGTCTACGCAAAGGTTAAAAAGTAATAAACAGTGATGAACAAGAGCTTGCGATAATTATGTTGGTACGAGAACCAAACCAAAGTGAATGTATTGTATTGTATATGTATATATTGTATTTCTCGTCGAGAAAGCCAGCAGCTTAGCTTAACATAAAAAAACACAAAGCAAAATGTAAAAACATCAGCATGCCTGGCCCAGAAACAGCCCAGCAGATGTTTATTACACTTTTTAAACAAATGTGTTAATTTGTGAGCTTTAAAGGTGCTGGTAGGTGGGGCTAGCTAAGCTAGCTGTTTCCCCTTGTTTCCTGTCTGTAGGCTAATCTAGTGAAGCGTCTCTTGGCTTGACATGAGAGCTGTATTTGACTCTCAGAAAGAAAAGGAATAAGTGCATATCCCAGAATGTGTGACAAAAAGTTAATCTAGACATAATCCGAGCATATCCTTGAGCTAACGTGCATGCTAGACAGCTCGTCTTATGTATCTCTTTATCTGTCTCTGCAGAAATTTCTACTACATCACCATGCTACGTGACCCTGTGTCACGCTACCTCAGTGAGTGGAAGCACGTGCAGCGTGGGGCAACTTGGAAAACCGCCCTCCACATGTGTGACGGCCGCCCGCCCACTCAGGATGAGCTCCCTGCCTGCTACAGTGGTGATGACTGGACAGGCGTGCCCCTGGCAGACTTCATGAGCTGCCCTTCTAACCTAGCCAACAACCGGCAGGTTCGCATGCTGGCTGACCTCAGCCTGGTGGGCTGCTACAACATGTCCACCATTAGTGAGCTGGAGCGAGGCCGCGTACTGCTCGCCAGCGCCAAGGCCAACCTGCGCAACATGGCTTTCTATGGCCTGACGGAGTTCCAGCGCAAGACGCAGTACCTGTTCGAGCGGACGTTCGGCCTGCGCTTCATCCGGGCTTTCACGCAGATCAACAGCACACGCGCCGCCAGCGTGGGAATCAGTGAGAAGGTGCGGTGGCGCATTGAGGGGCTGAACGCCCTTGATGTGGAGCTGTACGAGTACGCCAAGGAGCTGTTCCTGCGGCGCTACCAGTACAACCGCCAGAAGCAGCACCAGGAGGAGCGTATGAGGAGGTGGCAGGAGAGGCAGCAGAGGCAGCGGCTGCACAGGACCTATCTGGCTGAGCTGTGGAGACTCGGAGGAGGAGGAGGAGGAGGAGGAGGTGGTGGTGGGGGGGAGGAAGAGGTGAAGGTGTTAGGGGAGGTAAGCACTACAGAGGACTACAGCAGCCAGGTGGTGCGGTGGTGAGGAGAGCACAGGAACTAACAACACCAATGAACTGACTGATCGCCGTTTGATTCATTGTGCTTTACTCTCCTCCAACTGTCTCCCTCTGCTGTGACTCTGCCAAAACCTCCTGCCCTCATAGCCTCATATAGCGCTTTGTTGGACTGCCGAATGGTGTCTTAATATTTATGATGGATGTATTTGTCATGGCAACATAAACATTTTGTATTGTTTTTTTTCTTATGGCTATTTTTGGCACTGCAGTTGTGAATTTTATTTATTTATTAATTAGCAAATGCTTTGAATGTTCTCAAAGCAGTGAAAATGTTTCTCAAATTTCGCTAATAATTAGTAGAACTGAAAAAAATAATGTGCTACAGGAGGAAGGCTGATTTTAGTCTCTTTTAAAAATTGTGAATGACTTGACTCTGTGTCATGTTTGTGATCTAGCGCCGTGTTGATAAGTGAAATCTTGTAGTTTGTGGTGTTTGGCTTCATAAGAATATCAAAGCACAATGTTTGTTAAAGTCTGCAGTGTGTTTTAAGCTGCAATATACAGAAACAATCAAGGCAATTTCTCACAGGAAATGTGGTCAATAAAAAATATGCAGCATCCAGTGGTGTAAATTTGTCCCTGATGGACTCTCTCTCTCTGGTACGCATGTGTACATGAATGTGTTCTACCTTGCTCCTTTTTCACAGCATGTTCTCACCATAAAAATCTGAAATCTTCACGCAGTGTGCCAACTTCTTCCACATCCACGCACGTACAGACACACTGACGCACACTGATGAGGCTTTTTTTTCCGAAGGAGAGAGAGGAGAGCTGTGGGCCTGAAAGACAGCCTGTCAGAGCCAGTTTCAGCGCTCTTACATCACAGACAGAGAACATTGGTATTTCCACCATTAGCTCATTGATCACAGGCCCTTCACTTCCAAATTGATCATTTAAAGTTCAATTGACTGTGACGCTGGCGCAGCAGAAAATAGAAGAAACCCAGCGGCTTGCTGAATGCTTTTTCCTCCATAATCTGACAAACATACAGTACTCAGCGCGTCTGCCGTTCCATTTGCACTCCAGTAGAAAAACAATCTATTTCAACACATTTCCACAGACAACAGGCCTTTGAGATGTTAGGTGCAGGAATGATTGCTTTATATTAATATCCTGCGGCTGTAATAAGCACTTCCCGACCACTCCATGCAGACATTTTATTCATGAGAAGGAAAATGAGGATGAGATCAGTCAGGAGGCAGAAAAGGAAATGGCTATGTCCCCAGACCAAAATAGCCTTTCCATCCCCAGTTACAGTCTCTATTCGACTTGCCCAGCATGAATCAGAGAAAGATTAAAATTAAATAAGCCTATGATAATTAACTGTGAGTACTCTTATATTATGAGAGTCTTTGTTATTTGACAAAGATTACTAATTGTTTTGAATTGTGATCTCAACCATAAACCATGCAGGGTACTGCAGCAGAATGACATATGGTATCCAGGATGAAGCCAGTGATAGACAAATAATGTAACAGCTTCCTTTATCTATTGAGGATGTGTCTCTGTTGACGGGGAGAATTTGTTCCAGAGGTTAGATGAAGATACACGGATGTTTGGTGCTTCTGTTCTCAAAGATTACCTCTAAAACAGTTTGTGTGTTATGTGGTAATAACGACCTCTTGGAAGAACTCCAAACCTTTGGTTCTTTTGTTGTCAGCTCTTTCTATACAGCAATGTAGGGAGCAGTATACGGGCTTTCAAAATGAGGAATGTGCTGCCTGCCTTGTTACCTTGTGGGGAAAGTGAATGCATCTGCACAGAGAACTGAGTAGTCAGATACTGTACAATCTTTCACGGATCAGTAGCTCCAGGAGGTGTTGTTGGGCTGTAAAATTATTTTATCACACTGTTGGGGAGACAAATGCAGCAGACTATTCATCATATACCAATGCTATAAGTTACATATAAGTTAAACAATATGACACTTTTTATGATTTTTGAACCACACAAAATAATGTGAAGGGACTAAAAAGGGCTAGCTAGCTACAATTCTTTGCCAAGTCTCCGCCTATAAAAGCAAAAATAATTTGCTCGTGAATAATAAATAGTGTAGTTTAGTAGAAGAAAAAAAACACCGATACTCACACGTGTAACATATTTAAAAATTGGTTTGTTTTTATTATTTTCTGCATCAGTTAAAACACACAGGGAAAACTAGCTGGATATCTGGCAAGGAAAGAGTCTACAGCCAAGCTAGCAGCTCTGTGAGGCAGCTGTCCTTAAGCTGTGTCTTACTTCATATACTTCAGTTAACATGCAGTACACTGTGTACACTATGTACTTAATGTTTAGTGCATACATTTTGGCAGGGTAGTGTCAAATCGAACACGGATGTGGCACACTTAACGCAAACGACAATTGGAACATATGACCGCCTCTTCTTCCTCTTCTTCTTCTTCTTCCTCTTCTTCTTTTTAATAACAAATTGTAACTGGGCAGATCATTATCAGCATAATACACCATCCAGGTACTCATAGTACTTGTCATTGTGAATTCTCTTAGGCACTTAATGTAGCAAGTGTAAGTATGAAAGGCTGTGAATTGAGACACAGCTTTAGACACAGCTGGGCTCTGAGCTAAATGCTTGTGTCAGCATGCAAACACGCTCATATAGCTTATATAATATTAGTTTAGCGTGTTAGCATGCCAACATTTGCAAATTATTACTACAAACTAAGCACAGTCGAGGCTGATGAGATGCCGTGCCTTACGAGTATTGGTGAAACTGCTACTGACAGATACATGTTTCATGTACAGTAGGCTATGTGGTAAAACTTTTCATGAAAATCACAGAACATATTTTCTGCATCAATCAAAAACCTTCTGGAAATCTGACCCACAGCTCAGAAATGCAAACTAACTTCTGTGTTTCAGGAGTACAGACTGAACCCTTCAACTGCTATTTTCATGGCTGCAAACAAAAGAATCTATTGCATTTTTAATCAGGTAAATACTCATGTGATTCCAGCCTATATGTGGAAAAGGTATAACTTCGTCTCTGGTAGGCACCCTATAATGAAGAAACCATGGCTGTCATGTAGCTTTCCTGACACGAGTCTGAGTGATTAAGCATTTAATATTCCTACAGTGTGAGGCAAAGACATAGTATACATATGTTGTTGTTAATAAACCCTGTGTTTGTTGTCTTTCTTCTTTTTTCAGTGTGCTCCCGAATTTCTTTGTGTTCTCCTAAATGTTTTCATCAGGAGCCCTGAGAGATAAAAAAAAAAAAAAGGTGTTGGGCAGTTGTCAGTCAGGCAGCAGGCATGTCCCTGCCTGCCTTGCTGATAACGGCCAGATGGAGCAGCGACCTCACCTTCGTCACCCAGCATTTCCAGTAAAAAGTGCTAAGGAAGGCTGTCCTGAACTTGTCACCTGAAAGAGTGTACAGAGCCAAGTTAAAAAACGTGTTGAATCCAGCCAGAGGCCTGGAGATAATATATGCTGCATGCACGATGTGCTCAACCATGCATGGTGTCGGTTGGTACTTTCGAGTTTCTATCCGCAACACACGCAATATGTGATATGGCAGGAAACACACCACAAACACTACGAGGATTAGCACGGTCACACGCCGCGCTCGCATCCGACATGGACTGGCTGTGTAGGGCCCTTTCGCCAACTCCTTCACTATTCCAATGTAACACATGAATACCACCGCTAGAGGGAGTAGAAATCCGAGTGCAGTGAGCAGCCAGCCATACACCCGAATGTTGTCAACGGGCACGGTGCTTGCAAAGTCCAGGCAGGAGGTATTATTGTCATGCGGCCCCAAGGATATCATTGTCAACATGGGTGTAATTTCAGCCGCGGCAACAACCCAGACGACTGAGCACGCAATTATTCCCCAAAACTTCTGCTGCACTTGTGCAGCCCTCAAAGGCTTGATCACCACCACATAGCGGAAAACTGCGAGACACGTCAGGAAGAGGATGCTCCCGTACAGGTTAAAATGAAACCCAAAGCGCACCAAGCGGCACATGAAGTCGCCGAGTGTCCACACATCCATGTTGCTGTAGTAGTAGACCAGGAAGGGCATGCTGAGAACGTAGAGGAGGTCGGTCAGTGCCAAGTTCACCATAATGATGCTGCTGCTTTTCAAGGGTCGCAGCTTTGTCAGGTATATGACGATGGAGGTTACGTTGCCCACCAGGCCCACGATGAAGATGATGGTGTAGGAAACAGGCAGGTAATAGCTTTTTATCAGTTGGTCCACGTCAGTGCAGTTGGCCATGGCTGAGCCCTGTTGGGTAACACACGTAAAATAAAACAATAAACAGAGTGGCTAAAGGGCAAGGCTGTAACAAGCATTGAGGACACCGAGATCATGCCCTCGTTTCTGGGATTTTACAATCTGCAGCTGCAGCAAATTCCATTGATGTTTGTTGACTCAAGATATTTACATTTGTAGAGTCAGCTGAGTGTGAGAAGAATTGGAAACAGTATTTAAATAATCATTTGGGGAGATAAACATTTTAATAGAACATATATACTTATACTTGAATACATAATATAATTTATAATTAAAGTGTGAAAAAATAAATCTGGTCGGTAGTCAATATTTTCATGGGGTGGGGTTTGCCTTCCTAGGGTGTGTTGACGACCAAAAAACATGGCGGCTGATCTTACATGTGCTCTTTAGTACAGTACAAAAAGCTTTTTAAACCAGTGGTTCTCAAAGTGGGGTCCGGGGACCCCCAGGTGCTTGAGGGAGGTCCCCAGAAATAAGTAGCACAGTGATCTAATGTATGACTATTTTGGTCATGGGTCATACACTTTCTGTCTCTTATCAAATGGTCCGTGGTCTAAGTTTGAGAACCACTGATTTAAACTTTAAACCTGCAGTAAACAATTTTTTGGCCACTTGGAGGCAGCGTACAAACACAATGCTAGTAGCAGCGACCGATTTTCATATCGGTCGACCGCTGATGCCGATATTCAGAAAGCATGGCGGCAGATGACTGATATATAATGCTGATCTCAAAACAAAGTTAAGTCATGTATAATTCCATTATTCCATGCAGAGTACAATATAATATACATGATTATCTTAGCCAGTAGTGCGTTGTTGCAGATGGAATTTTTATTAATTAATAAAAATAAATGGGGAAAAAAATACATTGGGTTCGGCTGTAAATTTCAGAACGTGACGTGGTGTGGTGTTTAAGGGTACAGTTTGTCAGAAGTGACAAAATTCAACTGCATTATTCTCTACAGTATATATTTAATCTAGCCAGTAAGGGTTTTAGGTTAGATCTGCTGTCATTTAGGATTATATACACTATGTTGCTATACACATAAGTTTTGGGTCACCTGCCTTTACATGCACACAAAGGTTAATGACATCCCATTCAGTTTAATATGGAGTTGGCCCACCCTTTGCAGCTATAACAGCTTCAACTCTTCTGGGAAGGCTTTCCACAAGGTTTGAGTGTGTTCATGGGAACATGGGAAGAAGCGCATTTGTGAGGTCAGGTGTAGATGTTGGACAAGAAGGTCTGGCTCGCAGTCTCCGCTCTTATTCCTCCCAAAGGTGTGAAGAAAGGTGTCAGGTTGGGGTCAGGACTCTGTGCAGGCCAGTCGAGTTCTCCACGCCAAACTTGCTCATCCATGTCTTTATGGACTCTGCACTGGGCACTGGTGCGTCATGTGCACGAGTGCCCAAAGCAAAGTCCAGATGTCCATCAAAGTTGGGAGCATGAAATTGTCCGAAATGTCTTGGCATCCTAAAGCAATAACAGTTCCTTTTACTGGAAGTAAGGGGCCAAGCCCAACCCCTGAAAAACAACCGCACCCCACCAAACTTTACACTTGGCACAATGCAGTCAGGAAAGTACCGTTCTCCTGGCAACCGGTAAACTTTTTACAGCATTTTCACAGGATTTAGCTGACTGCTTGACTGGTATGTAAAGCTGTGGCCCTGCATATTGATTAATGCAGCTTTAATATATTATATTAATATTTGTATATTTGAGCTAAATGAATTGTACATCCCTGGGAATTTGTCCAATTCCCAATTCAAATGAATACATATACAGTACAAGTTTTGGGTGAGGAAAAAATGGGATTTGAGCAAATCATCATTCCACTTTCCCTCAGCTGTCATATCAGTGTCATTGGCAATTACTGCTTGAGGAAGGATGGAGAGAGCAGGGAAAGAAACCCAGAGGCGAGCAGACTAGGAAAGCAACAAATAATCAAGCAAACTCAGTGGGAAAGAAGCAAACAAAATCTTCTTCTCTGCTCGTCAACAGTCTGGTTTCTGAAAGCCTCTCAGGATATGACAGCGCCTATGGCACCCTGGCTTGATGGCTGCTTCCTGTAATGCTGTCACTGCAATGCTCTCATTATGGATGTGAGGAGATGTGTGAGGTGTCATTTACACATTGCATGTACACTCAGATTTCATAAGACAGGAACTTGTCCTCATTAA